CTGCAGACGGAGAAAATAAGGCCCAGAAAAGGGAAGTGACTGCCTCTCCATAGTGCCGAGGCGTCTGGAAACCATGAATGTTAAAAAAACTGTCACGGTACCTGGTGGAGCTGCAGGGGCCACCTGAACACCAGCTGCCAAGCCCTCGGGGCTCTCCTGGGTCGGGGGCAGCAGCAAAAGTTTACGTGGGTGAGGGAGAAGTGGGAGGAGAAGGAGGCAGAATTGCAGTTGCTTGGAGCCAGTCACCTGGGAGGGAGAGGGCAGCGTGAGCTGCTTGAACCTGTATTTATCGAGCATTTACCGCGTGATACTTACTGGGGCAGGGGCATGGCGAGATTGCAGCAGGTGTTGGAAGACCACCTGTGAAGGCCATCGAGCCCTCTGTGGTCCCTGGTTAGGGATGCTGGAGGCCCGTTTGGTCACCTGGGGATGTAGCCATCAGCCGAGCCAAGCTTTCGCCCAGCCTGGGATGCCCCCAGCTCAGCACTCAGCGTATCCACCCCGCTCCAGGGTGCAGGTGGCCCAGAGTAAGGAGGGGTCCCATTCTGGCGTTCTTTTCAATCATTATCCATCCATCCACGAAGTGTTGTGGAGTGTCTTCAGTATGCCAGGCTCGGTTCTAGGCACTGGGGTGAACCAGACAGCAGGACCCTTGCCCTATGGGGTGCACAGGTGAACAGGCAGTTACACAGTATGTAGGATAAGTGCTCTAATGGTGGAAATGCAGGGGTCTGTGGAGGCACCCCTTGTCCACACACTATATGTATTTCATCCTCGGGACAAGTCTGTGAAGTAGTTGCTGTCATCATCTCCATTTTGCTGATGAGGAAACTGAGGCTCAGAAGTAATTCTGCTAACAGGTAGCAGAGCCAGGTTGGAGCCCATGTGCCCGACTCCACAGCGAGGGAGGACACTGCCCACTTTGAACAGTCAGTCCGTGGCAGAGCTGGGCCAAAGCCTTCCCGTGACCCCAGCCTCCCTGTCTTATCGCGATCTGAGGGAGTGAGGATGCTGGGGGCCTGCAGCCAGGGTCCCGTCCAGTCCTGACTGGGCGGGGGCCTGATGCCTGGTTGGAGTTGGGGAGCAAGTGGATCCATGGGGGCCTCTGCAGCTCCTGGCTTCTCCTCCCTCAGGCCTTTGTACCCCCATGCTCCTGCCAGGCCTCGCTCACCCAGTTGCCACGGCAATGCAGAAGTCATTTCCAGGGTCTCTGAAAACTTTGTCTCCAGAGAGAAGCTGTTGGCATGGAGTTCCTTGGAGGCTAAGAGGCCCCTGCTGTGATTCGTGTGTGTGTGTGTGTGTGTGTGTGTGTGTGTGTGTGTGTGTGTGTGTGTGTG